TATTAATTGTAAGATGATAAATTTAATGTTTTTATTATCTGGTTACATATATTTTATTAGCAAATATTTTGGAAACAAAACACATGCAATAAAATAATATCTACTATCCAGGTTTTCACATGTATAAAAGGTTATCATCACTCTATGGTGTTTTTAATGTCATTCTATGATACTAGAATGTTAAATAGATGATAAAATATGTAAAGGCCAATATGAACAATAAAAGTTTACACTACAATTAAATATTATAATGTGTAGTGAGTATTAAATTAGTTAACCTGTGTAATGACATTTTATTAATTAGGAGCACAGTATAAATTTTAATTGTTATTATTTTGTGTCTTCATGCCCTAACACCTACTAAAAACCAAGAGTAATCAAAGGCATATGTAGAAATTCATATTTGAAATCAATGGATAAATATCAGTTGGTTAATTGTTTTATTTTTTCAAAAAAGCCTATTTCATAATTATTTTTATTGCTCATGAAACATTAGGTTAATATGAAATAATTGCAACCATTGGACATGAATATTTGTAAAAGGCAACATTGTCAGCTCTCTGGGATTAAGTGGTGAACACTTTCTCAAGGGAGCACCACTATTGAGAAGAACTAATTTACTTAGGTATTGAAGGATGGCCACTAGAAATCTCTGAGGCCTACAGGACAGCAGGGATATGGCCTGAGCTCTTTCTTGTTCCCATGAGTTCAAACCTTTGGAGGTCAAAATAAGTAAAATTAGAATATTTGTCATACAGGGATGGAGAGATGGCTCAGTGGTTAAGAACACTGACTGCTCTTGCAGAAGACCCAGGTTCAAATCCCAGCACCCACATGGCAGCTAACAACTGTCCATAACTCCAATTCCAAGGTGTCTGACATCCTCTTCTGTCCTCTGCAGCCATTGCATGACACGGGTTCACTTACCTACATGCAGGCAATACACACATACACATAAAATAAAAACAGTAAATTAAAATTTAAGAAAAAGAATATTTGTCATAAGTACAAGCTGTCAGAAGCAGGATCTTATTCTAAGAATCTATATTCTTAATACCATTGTTGTCACAGCTTTTTCTGTTCTCTCTTTAAATATTACTTTTAAACTGTTGCATAAGATTATAAGAGATGACAAGTATATTTCCATATTTTTGAAGATGTCTGATATTCTATTTTTGTTTCCGCAAACACTTTTGTTCAGTGGCCACAAAATTTAAAAAGTGAAGAAAGTCTGATTAGCGCAAACATTATTAGTAGTCAGCAGAGAAACCATAATTTTACATTCTGTTCTTTGGCACAGAAATCTGACTTTGCAAAATATGAAGTTAACAGCTGTCAGGATTTAGCAGACAAAACTAGAGAACAACATAGCCATGTCCTGTGTGGTGTTTGCATAGTGAGAATTAAGTGAAAAAACAAAGATGAATGGGAACAGTTTTCTACGCACGTCTAATATCCTTGTGGATGAATGAATCCATACAATGAGTAGTCTCATGTGATAAAATAAAAGCAAGAAAATTAAAATATCTTTCCATGAAGCTTGGTAAATAAGCAAGAGGATAACTGAATGGATAAACAGTGTCTTACAACTGAATGACAGCTGCTAAGATCCAAGGTAATTTGTGCTTTAGAGTAAAATGAAAAAAGAGTATATTCCTCTTCAATCTCAAAATTCAAGTTCTTTGTACAGTTTAGATAGCTAGATGATATAGATAGATAGATGATAGATAGATAGATAGATAGATAGATAGATAGACAGATAGGTAGATAGATGATAGATAGATATATAGATGATAGATAGATGATAGGTAGGTAAGATAGATAGATAGATGATAGATGATAGATAGATGATAGCTAGCTAGCTAGCTAGATGATAGATGATAGATAGATAGATAGATAGATAGATAGATAGACAGATAGATAGATAAGGATAGATGATAGCTGTATAGAAGGCATCAACTATTACTGATTTTGATTGAATTATAAACAAATATGTAAAAGAACATAATCTCTATTTGTTAAATAAAATTATTACATATTCTATCTTAAGTATATAGCATCTACAGAATGTTCTCATATTTTTAAGAATTAGTTCAAAATATTTCTATCAAAATAAATATAATTAATTAAAATTTCCTTATAATTTTAAATATTTTATTGCTTAAGAAAGACCTTTAATTTGTTTCTTATATATAAAAAGAGTAATGAGCTGTTAATCAGTCTTATAATTTTCATTGCTATCTTTTGATAGCATTGAATAAAAAGAAAATGCATGTTTCATATGACTACTTTCACAAAATATTAATAATAGCTTACATTAATTCAACATGTTGAATTATTAAACTTAGTTGCCATTTTTCAATAGGGCTCACAATTTGAAGCTTCCCTAACTTCCCTTACTTAAAGGAAGAGAACTAGTAAGTAAGCGGGACTCACAAGTATCACAAAGAAGGTAGTTCACATTAAAAATTTCACAAACTGTAAAAGATGCTTTAGAACTCTAACAATGAGGATGATATTGATCATGAGTTATGCTCTTCAACCCCTTTAGCTTCCTTTTAGCCTAACTATCTTTCAAAGTAGAAATAAAGGAGGAAGAGAAGAGTAGAAGGAGAGAGAGAGAAGGAGAGCGGGAGAGTGGCCATGAATCTCACAGTGATCACAGAATTCATCCTCCTCGGCCTGTCTGATGATCCTGACCTTCAGGTTGTGATTTTCCTCTTTTTATTAATCACATACATATTAAGTGTCACTGGAAACCTGACCATCATTGCTCTGACTTTGGTGGACTCCCATCTGCAAACACCTATGTATTTCTTCCTCCGGAATTTTTCGTTCTTGGAACTCTTATTTACAACTGTCTGTAGGTTTTTGGGGGCAATTGTCACCCGGGATTATAACAACTGTGCAGCCCAGCTCTTTTTCTTTATCTTCATGGGTGTGTGTGAATTTTACATTCTAACTGCCATATCCTATGACCGCTATGTTGCGATCTGCAAGCCCCTCACTACACAAGCATCATGAGCAGGAAACTCTGCACCCTGCTTGTGCTGTGTGCCTGGCTGGGCGGGTTTTTGACGGTTTTCCCACCCCTTATGCTTTTGCTCCAACAGGATTATTGTGCTTCCAATGTCATTGATCACTATGCCTGTGACTACTTTCCTCTCTTACAATTGTCTTGCTCAGATACGTGGCTCCTAGAAGTGATTGGTTTCTACTTTGGTTACTCTGCTATTCACTTTGGCACTGGTTATTTTATCCTACATATACATTATCAGGACTATTTTAAGAATTACATCTATCATTCAGAGGAAAAAAGCTTTCTCCACCTGTTCTTCTCACATGATTGTCATCTCCATCTCCTATGGCAGCTGCATATTCATGTATGCCAACCCCTCTGAAAAAGAAAAGGCATCATTGACCAAAGGAGTAGCTATCCTCAATACTTCTGTTGTCCCCATGTTGAACCCCTTCATTTACACCTTAAGGAACCAGCAAGTAAAACAAGCATTCAAAGATGTAGTACACAGACTAGTGTTTTCTGTAAGCAAATGAAACTCAAAGTACATTGGAAATAAAAAACACCATTAAAAAGTAATTAATTGTGACCTGAAAATTGTTAAATACTTGTATTAAATATCCTAGTTTCTTTATATGCCTCATTGTGGTTAAGTTTACAGTTTGCAGTCTATCACTCTTTTTTCCACGTTCAAGTATATCTGATAGAGTCTTCATTGAGTTATTTAACAAATACCAAAATTCATTTGTCCTACAGAGTTTTCTGAACAAGTTCTGTATTGAGATAATACCATATGGTGATTTCAATTATGTTTATTAACAGTCCGCAGAGAGTGGACAATGTGCTGTCTTCCTTCTTCTATATCTTCAAGGTGAACTGACACTCATAACATTTTTAGGTTCTCTGTGTTCTTTATGCTAACTCCCTTCTTGCAGTTTGTTCTGCAGATGCATCTCAAATGGAGATGACACACGTAGATTTTAAAATGTGCCACGTTTATTTTCTGTGTAAATTGAGTTCTTTGTTTAAAGTACAAAAATGAATTTAGGAATGCACTGTAATTATTTTAGTCACGTGGACATCAGTTAAATAACTAATCTATCTTAAGGTATCTGTTACTGATTAATAGCTATACTGTGGAAAAAATTAAACTTCAAATGCTCATTTTCTTTCATGTTCTCCCAAGTAATGCAGATCAGAAAACTTTGTCCATATTTGAAAATATGTAGACTACTGTGATATACAAACTGAAATATAAACATATAAAATAAATGTCTGTTATGCCAATTTTAATATGTGAAAATACTTTTTAGTTTTAAAATCTAAATTAGCTTCTAAGATACAAAAAAAAATCAAAGTATTACAATATGAGTCAATAACATCTCCCAGGGGAATTTAATGCTTCGGGATCTTTATGATGGTTCTAATATTAACATGTGCTTTGAATTCAACATTTTCAAATTCCTCTCACCTATTCTCTTCTTATTCATATACTTATTCATGGATGTGTAACTAGAGAAATGATTCAATAAAAGATTTATTCTTCTCCTAGTAAAGATCAAAGAGGTAAAAGAACAAATACAGGAAGTGTGTGACCACATGTAATTCTATGTGTTGAGTCTGCTTATACTGCACATAGTCACAAATATATTGAAGTCTAAACAATAGACTAATATTATCAATAATACATAAATTATATCAATGAGAAAATAAAGTCATGATTGCTCTTATTTCTTATCTAAGCTTAGTAGTCTGAAAGTAAAAAAAATGTGTGAAAAGTCATACAATACCACAAAGCCTCAAATTAATAAGCCCAGTACTAATAGCATTTAAGAATGAAAATTATTACACTACTGAGCACATATTATTTCTTTTTTATAAGATTCTAAAATATATAGTAAGAATTTTTCCATTGCTAAATAATGGCAATGCTGTATCACACAAATACTATGAATGATTTTATGCCTTCAAAAAGAACTGGGCTGTCAAAACAGAGCTTTGATTCCAATTGCAAGTCTGAAAATCTTTACCTTAGGTATAATATTTGGTCTATACAATTCTAGAAAAAAGAAAGGAATATTGTATTATCTGTATGTTTGTTTTTGATGTTTATTCAAATATTGTATAAATTTGTGGATTATATTTATAAGTGCTAAAATTGTAAGCAATATAGTACGTGCTTTTCTTTTGCTAAATATGTAAGAGACTGTTTAATTTTTGAGCCTGATACTTAAACTTGTCTTGAGTAAAAATTTAAAAAACTTTAGATTTACTGGTTTACAAAACTAATACTAATTAGCTTTAGTGTATTAGTGTGACATACTAGTATTTAGTATGATGTTACTTCTTATTTTGAGCTTAGCATCAGAGAAACCACACATGAAATATCACATTGTTCCAGTAAGAACAGATGTTATCAAAAAGACAAAGGTGAGGGATTGTTGATCTTCTTTAAGGGAGTGACTCTAAATAGGAATGACTAGACTCCAGCAGATGAACTCCCACCAAGGCACATCTGGGTACAATAATTTGATGTGATAGGCCTTAACATAGATGACATAATGCATGAAATCCAGTGAAGGGCTATTAAGGTGTGCAGATAGAGGAGGGGGTCTAAATATAATTAAGATGTATTGTATAAGGTACACAAAAATTCAATGAAAACATAATAAAGAAACAAAAGGCAAAGATATTGAGTGTTGAGGATTTCATGAAAAGTCAGCTCTTGTATACTGTGGTAGGAATGTAAATCGTATAGCTTTTATGGAGAATAGTACAGATATCCCTCAAAGAACTAAAGATAGAAATGCTATATGCTCCAGCTCTATCATTAATTAAATAAATATACAGGTAACATAAAATCATCATCTTAAATAGCCAATAAGTGGAATCAATCTTGATAGCAACTAAAAAAAGGACAAACAACATTTGACATGTATTCAGAATATGAATCAGCCATGGAAAAGAATGAATCCTGTCATTTGCAACAACATGGAAGGAACTGGACATCATCATGTTAAGTGAAGTAAAGCAGGCATAGAAAGACAAATACCACATGACCAAAGTCCTCTGTGGAACATGAAGCATATCTTCATAGAGGTTGAAAGTAGAATGGTCATTACCAAACTGAAAGTGAGAAAATCTCCAGTTACAGGAAACCCAACAACGTCTTCTGAGCTCCCAGGAAACTGAGTGAACATAGTGTACCTGCATACATGCAAGCAAGACACTCATGCATGTAAAAGAAAACTAAAGAAGTGATAAAAATTGATGGAGGCTAGGCTCAGTGGTGCATGCCTTTAATCCCAGCACTGAAGCTGTAGCCAAAAGCTACATCTGCTCTGGGTGCCTAGAAAGGCCAGGAGCTTTATGTGCTTAGCTAAAAACCCAAAAGTCCTAAACCTGACACTTTATTTCCTTATCTGTTCACAACAGGAGTGAGAGGAAACTCAAGCCACCTCAGTGACCTCCTTTTTTTCCTGCTCTGTTACAGCAAAGAACAGAGGCCCTTACCTCCTCCACCCTTACTTGGCTATTCCTAACTGGAAACCCAAGCCACCTCAGTGACCTCCTTTTTTTTTCTGCTCTGTTATAGCAAAGAACAGAGGCCCTTACCTCCTCCACCCTTACTTGGCTATTCCTAACGAAGGAATGCTGGCCTCGGAGCCTCAGAGATAAAAGAATCTGAGATTCTGAGAGAGGTTTCTGGGATAAATTTTTTGAGAAGAACTAGTAGAAATTGCTAAGAATTTGAATTACAGATGTTAAGAAAATACATTAATTTAAATGGATAGCCATATTTTTGTCTGAGAAATTGGGCTTAAACT